GGGGGGGGGGTCCTTATTGTATTTGTTATATAATGGGCCCCAAAATTGTTACGGCCCCTATATTACCGGCCTTGGCTAGACAAAAAGCTTCCTGCAGCCACGGAATCCTTGAATGCCCAGCTCGAAAATCTGAGCCGAGACAGTTTTCCACAGGACCGGTCTTATGATATGGGTAGTTCTCTCTAAATTAGGNNAGGGTCCCTTTTGGGGGTCCTTTTTTGTAAAGGGTGCCGTACTATATTGGGGACCCAAAACGGGAATCGAATTTAGACAACTACCCATATGTACGCGAGCCGATATTGCCTGCTGCGTCACCTATTTTTGGGTTGACCACCGTGGTGCCCTTTTGCTGAAAGTCTCGGTTCGACCCAAACACAACCCGAATCTGCAGGCGAAGAGGGTCCAATATGCCCACCTTATCTAAGCGACCCCTTCTGTAGATGCACTTGCACATGAACTTGTGGTACCTCTCAGGCCGCCGCAGTGCCGCAGACGGCGGAAGCTCCAGGTCAAGGTCCGCAAGGCGTGTGCGCAAGGGACAGCAGGAGCGAACGCAAGCTCTTGCTGCGGTTGCTGTTTCTGGTCACCTACTTGAGGCATCTTGGGATATTGATTTTACGGAGTTCACCTGTTCCTGCAAACACGTCAACGAAAGAAGCAGCAGCAGCAGCAGCAGCACCACCACCAACAACAACCACTACAACAATGACTACTATGACTACGACGACGACGACTACTGCTACGACGACGACTACGACTACTACTGCAACTACGACTATGGCTACCTACCGGCTGTCTACGACTTCGATTACGACTACGACGACTACGTCGGCGACGACGACGACGTTTCAGATGTACTAGGTCGCTTGTTGCCCGTCTGTTTGACGCGGCAGTCTCCGGTCCAGGCCACGATAGACACCAGGCTGTTGCAGAGCCTGGAGTGTCTGCGACCTCTCCACTAGACCAGGCACCCGGATGTGCAGATGGGGAAGAATCCAAAGAGGGTTTAGGGCTCAGAGCATCTTTATAGGGCTTGGGAGTCGAATCCAGGTGTGGCTGTGAAGCTGAGGTGACCCGACGCCCCGTTAGTGGATAGCAGCTAGCGTTTGGAAGAAGTAAGGGATGAACATGCAGAGTTTATGCATGTGAAAGATGGGAGAGTCCTAAGTTTATTCATGCTACAGGACTGCATTGGCCTTATCAGGTTCGACCAACAGGCCCTCCTTACGCGAAGATGCATGGTACATCCCCAGTAGCTCTCAGGTTGGTGGTTTTACTCGGCTGCAGGTGTTGGACCAACTCCATGTGAGCAACCCGATGCGATTGGCTCCAGCCCACATGTACGACTAATATTCTGGAAGGTTGGATCATGCTCATGCTGGGGGCTTTGGTTTGCATTCACAGCCGCAGCTTGTACAAAAAAGCTTCGCGTCTTAGCCTCGCGCGTCGGTTTCACCTCCTGGGGCATCTCGCTCTTACTTGCCTATGGCCAGGAGTGTGAGATGCCTCCGTGCGGGTGGGGCACCCTCTTGTGAGTAGACGGTCTCCGACATCTCGCGACGGAATGGACGGAATAGCTACTGCATGTTGCCATCAGGTCCGTTTGCACTTTGTGACCAGTCTGCTGCTGAGTTGCCACCCATAGTGTTCTAGCAGCATTGGCTTCTTCTTTCTTGGCTGCCAAATTCGCATGATCATCTGTCATAGTTGCAGTTATTATCAGGGTGATCATGGTGATGAAGTTCTTGGTGGAAAAGCATACTCTTAGTATCAGGGCGATGTGGGTGATGTAGCTCCTGGTGGGCACCATACCTAACATTGGCTACCAAACCCAAATCCCGCGAGTTGCGAGAGTCCAAAGCCCAAGCCCCAAGTACGAGAGTGAGAGTCGAAACCCATTGCCAGGTTTGTCCGTGTCAAAAACCTTAAACTTTTCCCTAAACTTCTAAACCCTAAAGACCTGACAGAGGGGCTGGTCCCAGCGGCTTCTTGCAGCACTTTTGCTCAAATGATCGAAGCCTTGGCAAGCAGAGTGAGGGACACGGCCATGGCCTTTCCCAGCTCCTTCGGCTGAAGCAATCATTCTTAGGGTTATTTAGGGGATGAGGGGCATGTGCTCGATTAAGCCTCAAGGTGAGGGAGGATGTTTGGCTTAGATGAAGTCTAATCTACAATCTGTGTGGAAGTTCACAATTACATTGGGCTCCTGTGTCGTTCTGCAGCTGGCCTGGTCCAAGTCTTTGTCAAACGATGCCAGTCATTCCCCGTCCTACCGTGCTTTGGTTTTTACGAAGACTGCCTGTGCATCTCAAGCCGTGACAGGTAGTGCTTGGCGTGCCCGATAGCTATATATGTCGGTGTTCTTGCGATTGCTTGCGCAATGCTGTGCCTATGGCGGTGTTTTTCTTTCGTGCTATCGTGAAATGCTCAGGGCTGCAGCAACTCAACATTCGGCTTGGGTACATGGCCATTCAGGCAAGTCCTGGCCCCATGATGTCATCTAAGGGACAGATTGCTTTCATCACTTTCTCTTGCCTGGAGGATCATGGGACGTAGTAAGTAAGTTATAAGTGCCCCAATTGGGGTTATACTTATAGTTACCTTATTTATAACCCTAGTTACTAAGTCCCATGATCCTCCAAGCAAGTCGACCCGACAAGTCAGCACAAACTTCCCGTCCGGTTGAGCCTGAGCTCCGAAAGCCACAAGCACAACACCCGAAACCCAGATGCCAATGCCAACTCCCGCGGTCCTAAGCCCTGAACCCCCACATTTCCCCCCAACACCCTACAAAAAAAGCCCCAAAACCCTAAAACCCAGAGCCCCGAAACCCTAAAACCCAGAGCCCCGAAACCCTAAAACCCAGAGCCCCGAAACCCTGAAACCCAAAGCCCCGAAACCCTGAAACCCAAAGCCCCGAAACCCT